ATCTCTCTACCTCCATCATATGGTGATAAGATCTGCGTACAATCTACCTTCTCCGGACCACACTCAGTGAGATTTCACTAGAAATGTTATTATTGTAAACTTTAATATTATCACACTCACATAATTTTATACAAGAAAATGCGATCCTTTATCCTCTTACAATTTGAATAGAGAAAATGACATTTTTAAATAATTTATGTGTAAAAATAAAAATCTTGCATATAAAAAAGGCATATTTTTTTTTTTTTAAAAAAAAACTCATAAAACGCTACAAAATCATTTCTCCCATTTTATTGGAATAACACGCCATATTCAAGATTGCAATATTTTAATATATCGTATGTATTTAAGTTTTAACTAACCAATAGAAAAAAGCATTATTTTATTTTTCAACTCAATGACCATTATTATCTCCTACAAAGTGAGCGGTGGCGTATTAAATATTTTACTTGTAACTGAGTAAATTTTTGTAAATCAAAAGTTTTACACGCAAGGGTCAGGTAAATTTCTTATATTATTCGTGCAATTAATACCTTTTAAAAATATTCATATTAAAATTTTCAAGAAATATTTTGAGAAATAAACTAATAAAAATATTTTCTTATTAATAATTTTATAATATGCTAATAAAAAAAATAATAAACTAATATGAAACATCGCCGCAAGGCCCATTGTCAGGTAAATTTCCCAAGATATTTCTTGAAGACTTTGAAGGTCAAACCAGCACTGCCCATTCTCCAAGGCCGAAGCTATTCAATTTATAAACCAAAAAAAAAAGAAAAAGGAAAGCCGCTTACTCCAATAGGAAGCAGCAACTCACATGATGCACATATACTTTTGGATGGTCGGTTTTCTGCACTAATTTTGAGCTTCATTTCTCCAAGAAAACACCCCCCTTTTTTTTTTTTTTTTTTCATTCTTTGTTCAATCATTGCCACTCTGCTAAAAAGGGTCACTTCCTCTCTGCTTCATATATGGATCTTGTTTGCTGATTTGTTCTCTTTCTGCATATTCAAGATTTGAGCTTTGAGGTTTGTGCATTTTCACTTTCTTGCTTCTACTTCTGACCAATGTTTTCTTGATCCTCAAATCTCCCACTTTAGTTAACCTAAAGTTTGCTGCGTTTGTCTTCTTTTCTTATACCCCGCCGCCTCTTTTTTTATTTTTTAGATTGCCCTCAAATGGGATTTGGGTTAACTTAACTCTTACAGTAGTTGATCTTTGCAGGTGACAGATAATCTTTCTTGATAGTAATTTCTTGGGTATTTCATAGAAGTTAAAAAGTTGCAATCTTTACCTGTTTGGGATTAACCTTGAGCTAGTTTCTTGGTTCGTGAATTTATATGGGAGACTGTGAATCTTCAGTCCCCCTAATGGAAGAAGAAGAAAACCTAATAGCTGCTGCACAGAACATTGTGAAAGCGTTGGGGTCAAATAGGACTTTAACAGATGATGCTAGGAAAATTTTGGCTGATCTAGGCTCCCAATTGTCTTCTATAACTAGAGTGAGTGAACCCGAAGATGAGGGAGCTGGTGAAACTGAGGAGCAGCTTATTGAGCTGGAGGAGGAGCTTAATTTAGTGCAGAGTAAGGTCATGAACTGGGAGGTGGGTAAGTCAATGATATGGGATTGTGGCCAGGAAGAAGCTTATGAGTATTTGAGATATGTGGATCAAGGTCGAAAATTGATTGAGAGATTGGAGAGTTTGAACTTGGTGAAAGGCAGTAAAGAAGATGAGCTTCTGCGTAGGGCTCATGATCTTCTGCAAACAGCAATGAATCGTCTTGAGGAGGAGTTTACGCATTTGCTTGTTCACAACAGGCAGCCTTTTGAGCCGGAGCATATGTCTTTTCGTTCCAGTGAAGACGATACGTTGGATGATGGCTCAATTGTGTCGTTTGGGGATGACTCGATTGAGGATGTGGTTCAAAGAGATAGCATGAGTAGGAGTTCAGGGGAGTACATCATTGAACTGGTGCATCCAGATGTTATTCCTGACCTAAAATGCATTGCCAATTTGATGTTTGATTCAAATTATGGCCGGGAATGTTCTCAAGCATTTATCAATGTCAGAAAAGATGGCTTGGATGATTGCCTCTTCATTCTTGAAGTAGAGAAGTTGAGCATTGAGGATGTATTGAAGATGGAATGGAACTCATTGAACTCCAAAATCAGGAGGTGGATACGGGCTATGAAGATCTTTGTGCGCATTTATCTTGCCAGTGAAAAATGGTTAAGTGATCAAATTTTTAGTGAGCTGGAAGCAGTTGGTTCAGTTTGCTTTGCTGAGGCCTCGAAAGCTTCAATCTTGCAGCTTCTGAACTTTGGTGAAGCCATAGCTATTGGCCCTCATCAACCGGAGAAATTGATTCGGATTCTTGACATGTATGAGGTGCTTGCAGATCTTATCCCAGATATTGATGCTATGTACTCTGATGAGGTGGGGTTATGCGTTAGAAGAGAGTGCCAAGATATTCTTAGAAGCTTGGGTGATTGTGCAAAGGCAACCTTTCTGGAATTTGAAAATGCTGTTGCTTCCAGCATATCAGCCAACCCTTTTCCTGGTGGCGGGATACACCATCTCACGAGGTATGTCATGAACTACATGAAAACTCTTATTGATTATAGCAAGACACTTGATGAGCTTCTGAAGGGCCACGAGAAGGAAGATTCAGTGGCCATTTTACCAGACATGACACCTGATAGAGAAGAAGATAACACAGACAGACGCTGTTACATTTCTCCGCTGGCTCAACATTTTCGATCCTTCACTTCAATCTTGGAATGCAACCTTGAGGATAAGGCCAGGTTATACAAGGATGAGTCACTAGGTCACCTTTTCTTAATGAATAATATTCATTACATGGCTGAAAAGGTGAAGAATTCCAATCTAAGAACAATACTAGGCGATGGTTGGATCCGAAAACATAATTGGAAATTCCAACATCATGCAATGAGCTATGAGAGAGCTACTTGGAGCTCTATCCTCTCTTTCCTCAGAGATGAAGGGCTATATAATCCAGGCTCGAATTCTATCTCAAGAACTCTTCTCAAGGAGAGACTAAACAACTTTTATCTCTCATTTGAGGATGTTTACAAGAGCCAGACAGGATGGTCTATCCCAGATAGTCAACTTCGTGAAGATCTTCGAATCTCAACATCACTCAAGGTTATCCAGGGATACAGGACATTTTTTGGAAGACACGCCAACCATATAAGCGACAAGCACATAAGGTATACTGCGGACGATTTGGAGAACTTCCTTTTGGATCTCTTTGAGGGATCTCCAAGATCTTTACATGGTTCCCACAGGAAGTGAGCTTCATATGCTAATCAGGGATTTCTTCCAAAGGAAATCAAGATTCTTAATCCTCAATCATCATACTAGTTTACATTTAGATATATCTATTTTTGTAATCTAAATGAATTCATAACTTCTTGAGTGTAGAAATTTGGTGTTGTGTGCAAAAAGGTCAATGCCATGTACTTTGGAAATGCATAGATCCCTTAATAGTATAATTGTTAGCTGTTTGTTACTTAATTTCCCTGCTAACCTCATTGTCATCATCAAAACCAATTTGCTTAAGGCTGTCACCTAGGAGAATGTTAGTAGCTTTTTGTTAGCTCTAGGCCTAGTTGGGTCCTGGAAAAATCTACTTGTGCTTGGAGATTTGATGTCTTGAATCTTGATTAACATGCCAACATTCTTTTTAATCAAATGGGATCACCTTGTTCACAGATATTATGTCTGATAGAGACCACCATCCTTAAATCAGAGTCCATGTGTGGATTGGATTGTTGTCATATTCATTGGGTCATAAATGAAATTAGTGCTTCTCCTTTTGCTCATCACATTTATTTTTGTATAATTATGGTTTTCAACCACCTCTTTTGCTTAAAAGATACAAATACAACATTGCATAAGAAGGTAGTAAACCATGAGTTCAAATTATCTGAACTGTACCATAATATAATGTTTAAGATCCCTTTTCATTAAACAAACATCAAGAAATGATTGTAAATTTGAACTTCAGATTACAGTTAGAATAAGATATAACATAAATTGTAAGTAAAGCACCAAGGTGAAAAGATAAAAATATCATATAATATTTAAAAGATATTACATAAAAGGGAGGATTATAATTATTAAAGGACAATGTGCACTAACCTCGGAACAAAATCAAATTATAAATAAATGACAAAATATAACAAAAATTTTACATCTCGTGTCTCGTGTGTTTACTTTTTCTTTTTTTTAGCATATATATATAAAATATGAATAGTAATTATACTCGATTATACACATATTTTGCATAAATTTTTAAAATTTAAGTGATTAAAATAGCCGATGTTTTTTTAAACCCCCCTCAAAAAAAAAATCTTTTGGTTAAAATGCAAAAAGAAAAAACGAGAAGGTTGTGACGACCGCCTCATTTTGATCCAACGGCCAAGAATGATCAAGTTGTAATCGCAAGGCCGACATTTATTTTGAGATATTAATGGGAGATGGCCTCCAACTTCTAAAACCCTTCTAGGGTATAACGAGGCAGCAAGTGTTCTTCTTCAGTGCATCCTTCCACCAAAGGTAAGTTTCTTCTTCATATAATAAAGGAGTTGTTCAGATTTTTTATTTGTGTATTTGTTGCATTTTTTTTAAAGCTTTTTCAAGATTAGGGTTTTACCATTTTCGATATGTGTTGCATGATCTCAATGGTTTTTGGGTAAAGGAGTGAGATTGATGGTTGTGACATACCCAGACTGTGATGAATTCTCATTGTAATATGGACCGGAATCTATTGATTATCCATACTGCATATCCCAACTAGTTTCAAATCCGTTTATTTATACCCTGTTGTTGATGACTTCCTTTAGTTTTTCCTTTGACTAATATGCTAGTATGATTTTCGCCAAAGGAAATGGGTATCTTCTGAATTTTCCTCCTTACTGTTTATTTTTACATTGAATGTGTGAAACTGACTCTTTTCTGTCCTGGTTTACTAGGTTTAAAGATGGCTTTTCTCAATTCTTAAACATGGTGTAGGCAAAAACACAAACTTGGAACTTTCTGCCTCAAATGGTTCACTTTTCCAGACTATAAGAAGCATGTCTTCGTCTAAGCTTTTCGTTGGGGGTGAGAAGATCTTTCCTGTGTATGGAGTTCTTGTTATTTTTTCGCTTCTTTTGTTTACTCTATAATTGTGTATTATCTACTGCAGGTCTCTCGTATGGCACTGATGAAAGTTCTCTGAAAGAGACATTCTCTCAATATGGTGAAGTAATTGAAGGTACCTGGGTTACTATTTGGCATCTGTAGATTTAAAATTTAGTAATGCATTTCATTTAAAAGGGATGAATCACTGTGTAGTTGCAGCAGCATTAGCTAATATCAAGTCTGCCGTGATTACCAATGGAAACAAGCTAGCAGGTCTCCAGTGAATATGTAGTTTTCCCGTGGTTTTGAATTAGTTATAAAGTTGGAGTTCAAATTCATTTCTGTCCTATTAATGAAACAAGACGTATTTGGTCTGAATTGGACATGTTCCCTTATCAATTTAGTTATTGGTGAAAAGTCTCAATTCTAATGATCTGTGAGACAGATCTATGTGCGGGGTCTCTCTGGAGATTTCTCTGAGGCCAGCTTCTTTTGCTGTGTGTTGTTTAACTCAACTTTGAAATAAACTATTTCCTCCCCCTTTGCAGCTAGAGTCATTCTGGATCGTGAAACTGGGAGGTCCAGAGGGTTTGGTTTTATTAGTTTTCCATCAAGTGAAGAAGCAACAAGTGCCATGCAGGCCATGGATGGCCAGGTATGATGTTATTTCTAGCTAGAAAGGTATCCTTGTGAACACAAACTACACATATTTTATCAATATCTGAAAAAGAAAGAGCTTGAATAGACTAATATGGATTTCATTGGAAAGGACATCTTTACTTGTAACACATAGTTCAGAGGACAATGTTTCACCCAGAACCTTACTACCAAATTCCTTTGTAATGACACTTTGTATCTGCAAAGAAGAACAGTGACACGTTTTAGTTTTTTTTTTTTGGTAACTAATCATTCTTATTACCAAAAGTAAACATTACAAAGCATATAAGAAGATCAACTGTTGGACATAGCCCCCACAGTTATCTTTACTAAGGGTCGTTTGATACAAATGGCCGAAAAGACTCATAGTCAAAACCTAATTACATCAATGTCTAAGATTTAGGTAGGATAATAATTGTAATTGTTCAGCCATGCTGCAAATTTGTTCTGGTTTGCGCCTCTAGCATGAATGTCCTGTATGATGAGCTTGATCATAGCCTGAGGAGTCTGCCTTTTGTTTTGAAAAACTCGAGTATTCCTTTCCCTCCAGAGATAGTATACTGCAGCAGCCAACATCATTCTGTAAACCTCATCTTTTGGGTTCCTTCCTTTAGCATGCACTTCAGCCCATTCAGTTCTTCTGACAATTGAGCAGGGACCTTCGTTATGCCAATCCACTTCAGTAATTGCTTCCAAACTTCAGTAGATACCTCACATACAAAAAATAAATGGTTCAAGCATTCAGGTTTGTTCTCACACAGAGGGCACATCTGATTTGTAGTTACACCCCACTTGACTAATCTATCTCGAGTGTTTAACCTTCCAAGTGCAGCCAGTCTCAAAATAAAAATCCATCTAGGAAGGCCGCTATTATTACAAACCAGTCTTCTCCATGACACCTTCTGAAACTGTCCTCTCAGCTTTACATAGAATTGCTTGATTGAGAAGTTAGGCATAGTTAATATGTCATCCACACTATATCCTGCTTGAGAAAAGTATTTAGTTGCCTTGAGGATCCTTTGAATGATCCACGGGGCCTGGTTGGGAATGTCCATCAGCAAATCTATGTTCCCATAATAGGAGTGAGTCCACTTTACCCACAACTTATCTTTCTTCGTGCGTATGTTCCATGAGAGCTTACTAATTGCAACTTTATTCCATGTGGCCACATCTAGAATATTCATACCTCCGGCAACTTTTGGATAGCATACTTTATCCCAGGCAAGTAATGCTCTTTTTGATAGTTCAGTACCTCTCGTCCACAAGAAGGTTCTGCAAGTGGCCTCAATGATCTGGATCACCTTCTTAGGTAATACAAACACTTGTGCCCAGAATACTTGAATAGAGAACAACACAGATTTTATCAGTTGGGTTCTACCTGCATATGACAGAAACTTAGTTGTCCATGATTTGATTCTCCCCAACATTTTCTCAAGCAAAGGTTGAAATTGAACAATAGACACGTTTTAGTTTGTTTATTCATTTCATGAAGTAATTATCATCATCACTTCACAGAGTAAAACTATTTGCAGAGAGTGAGAATCTTTTAGATAATCCTATCTCTTGTAATACCACTCACTTAAATAACTGTATAGCTTACCTTTAGCACCTGTCCCACCAAACCTCCAACCAGTTCCGTCATGGGTTGGCTGATTAATGTGATATTTCCTAGCAACTTAATGCTATCAGTGGTCAATTTTGGATTTCTTTTAGAATGGCGCCTAAGTGATTTATGCTTCACAACTGCTTCAGGATCTTCATGGAAGACGCATAAAGGTGAATTATGCCACAGAAAAACGTCGTGATGGTTTTGGAGGTGGCTATGGCGGCGGTAACTATGGTGGAGAAGGTGGAAACTTTGCAGGTGGTGGAGGTTATGCAGCCAGTAATTATGGAGGTGGAGGCGGTGGATTTTCTGGTGGTTACAATTCTTCTGGAGGAGGTGGCTACAATTCTGCTGGAGGAAGTGGCTATGGTAGCAGTAGTGGCTATACCTATGGTGGGGAAGGTGGAAATGTTGCAGGTTCTGGAGGTTACCCAACCAACAATTACGGTGGTGGAGGGACTGAATTTTCTAGTGGTAACAGTTCTGCTGGAGGATACAGTAGCTATGGAGGTGGTAGTAGCAACTATGGGAACAACAGTTCCCCTGTTGAGGGTGGTAACTACGGAAGCAGCACTCCAAACATCAATCATTCTGGTCAAGGCAGTAGTTTTTCAGGTGGTTATGGCGGTGGCAACAGTGGGAATGACTTTGTTGGAGCTCCTAGTAACAATAATAGCTTCGCTAACACGGGATTTGGTGGGAGCTCTGAAGCATCATATAATGGAAGCCAAGAACAGGTTAGTGCAGATCAAGGAACTCAATCTATAAATGAACATCTTGGACAGGAGACACCAGAAGGAAACTACAGGGATAACGATGACAAACCAAAGGATTACGCCAACACCAGGGGCTGAAGAAATGTTTGGTTTCAAGAGAATGTCTAGGACATATGTTTGAGTCATGCGTGAATAAGATTAGTGATTCTGTACTATTGATATTTTTGCTTTCGGTATCAATAATACTCTGGTTTATTTTTATGGTGGAATTTTGAATTGGTCATTCCCATTTTCAATTGTACTGGCAATATGTGTATTAGTAATTACTATTAGCAATATTTGCATAAAAAGTGCATTTGTTTTTTCATTTGAGGATGTTTAAATTGATTAAAGAAAAGTGACATCCTTCGTAAGTATGTTACAAAATGCAGAAAGAATGAAAGATACAGAAATTGCCAGAAAAGAGAAAATGAGGCCTCTTACTCTTTCACAATTTGAATAGAAGAAAAAAAATTGTCTTTGCAAATCTATGTAAGAATGAAATCTCTGGTAAAAAGGTCATAAAATTGGAAAATTGCTTTTTTTTTTTTGGTTGTAGAAGGTTAGAAAATCATTTCTCTGTAAGAAAACTATTTGAAGTTGAACATATTAATCTGCCTCTTGTACGTTACTATACTTAAAAAAATCATAAATAAAAATATAAGATGGTCAAATACCCTTTATTCATGTTGGTAATATCAAGATAATTTATGAAAATAGTATAAGACATATGAATAGATATCATTTGTAAATACGCTTAATAGTATAAGACACGAATAGATATCATTGAAATAGATACAAAGTTGAAAGTACTACCTCCGTTCCATATTAGTTGACCACTTTCCATTTTGCATCGTGCTTAAGAAATCACAAATAAGAAGATGATTTTACTAATTCATTCCTTAAAAAACTTCTTGGGAATTTTACAAACAAATGTGAACACTTTAAAAAAAAATTAATTGCAAGAATAAGATAGAAAAAAAGATTAGTTAACTTTTTTTGATTTAGTAAGGTGATCAAGTAATTATATTTAGTATGATGATCGACTAATATGAGACGGAGGGAGTAATAATAAACTCTTGAAATAATAATTATTTTTGGAACTTTTAAATTTATTTAGACTTCCAAAGAGTATTTATTTATATTACAGGGATAAAATGTGAAAATTTTAATTAATTTCATCATAATCTAGCAAGTGGATATATATTTTGTACTCCTAAGTCCTAGCGTTAACAGTAAGCGAAAAAATAATACCTAGCGTTAATAGTAAGCGAAAAAATAAAAATTGGCAGTTCATCCCCGCGGGTGTTTTCCATATATATATAAAGAGATAAAATATTAGACAATCGTCAAGCTGGAATAGCTCAGTTGGTTAGAGCGTGTGGCTGTTAACCACAAGGTCGGAGGTTCAAGCCCTCCTTCTAGCGTTTTTCTTTTGTTTTGCTCCATTTATGGACAACAACAGTTAACCCACCCAAATTCTTAAACCCTAGTTCGACCCGTCGACGAAACCTTAAACCCTAATTCCACCCGCAACGAATTTGCCCGTGAACGTCTGTCTTCCTACACTCCACACCCTTCTCTCTCTCTACACATACTTTTTTAATGGCGGGTATGGATATTGATGGCAACGTTGAAGAGGCTGCAAGGCGTGTACAGGTCCGGTTCGTCACGAAGTTGAAAGCACCCTTTAAGGCTCCGCCTACTTCCATTGCTATTCCCTCTAATCTTACCCGATTGGGCCTCTCTTCCATCGTCAACAACCTCCTTAAAGCCGGTAACTTTTAGTTCTACCTATTTTGTTAAGTGGAATGTGCATATAGTTTGGGACTTAGATGTGGTTGATTGATTGGTTGTCTCATTTAGTTTTGAGTTTATATGGAAGTGGATTCATTTTTTGTTTTAGATAAGTTAATTATAATTACAGTGATGTGGTTGTTGAAACTGAAATAGATGTTTGTGGATTGTGGGTAATAATGTTCAATGTTAATTGTCAATTTGGCTTTATTGATTGGTTTAACTCACTTGTTTAAGCTACAAGCTAGTAAATTGCTATAAATGAGTATTTGTTAAGCTACGTTGACAAGTTGAATAGGATGTTGGTTGTGGTACGAGAGCTTTGTTATAATGGGTTAATGGTGCCATAATTGAGTAACTTAGAAATGACTATCAAAATGTATATTGTGTCTAAATTTGGGATCAGATATAGAAGAGGGGGTTTCATATTTAATTAAATAAAGGACCTGATCTTATGTATAATGGACAAGCACTGTATTGTCTGCCCAGTGATTTTGCTATTTGTGTTTTTACTAGTATGCTTACCTGTTTGTCATTTGATTTTATTAGGAAAGGATGATTGGAATCCCGAGCCTTTTGATTTTCTCATTGATGGGGAACTGGTCCGCATGTCACTTGAAGAGTTTCTCCTTGCCAAGGGCATTTCAGCTGTAAGTTTCTTTCCTGAAATCACTTCTTGACTGCTTGAGTGACCAGAGTTCCAGTTGTACTGTTTTGTTTCTTCAGACCAACTTAAAAATCAAAAAATGCTTATGGAAGCTGGTTAATCTTGTTTCCAGAAAACTTATAGAATGGACTGTTTTGTCTCTTCAGACCAACTTAAAGAAAAAGATACTTAAGGAAGGTGGTTAATCTTGTTTCCAAAAAAAAAAAAAAACGACGTAATCACATTCTTTTTAAAGTTTGTTGCTTCAATTTGTTTGAGCAAAACGATTGATGGATGATGATAATAATAAGCTCTAGAAAATAATGAATAGCCAGCCAGTAATAAGGTTGATGTTAGTGGCCCGAGCTCGAGGTGAACTTGTACCAACAGTTGGATTAGCTCAAATGTTGTCCCTCATTACTTGGATTTCTTTCTAATCCCACAAAGTATCTACTGGCCGCTGCTAGTGAGATTGTTTGTTCGCATTATTTAGTAGGTTTTTATTCTTTTTATGCTTGCAATTGTATCTCTTATTGGAGTTTCAAAGTTGTAGAAAAATCTAAAGTATTAACAGCTCTGTTTTAAAATTGTAGGTAAGATAGTAACCGTAAATGCAAAAAATTGTAGTCAGTGTAGTTTAATGACAAAACATTTTCTTTCTGGAAATGATTAGATAACTGAGCTAATACTTATGAGGTGTTTGAAATAATTGTACGTATTGCAAAAAGATATACACACCTGAAGGTTCTAGAAGTGCTGTTACTCTGTAATTCTAGTTCCCTCCTAGTTGTTTTTCTTATGTTCTTGTTCACTAGCCAGAAGTGGCTTATTTTCAGAGTCACAAATCATTGAGATTTTTGACAATATATTTCACTAATGTTATTATATGTTTATTCAGTGTTCTTCTACTTATCTTTTTTCCAACTGTTTTCTATATCTTTTACAGGAGAAAATATTGGAGATTGAGTACATTAGAGCTGTGGCTCCGAGGAAAGAAGAAGAGCCATCTTTGCATGATGATTGGGTCAGTGCAGTTGATGGTTCTAATTCCAAGTAAGCATGAGTGTGAAATTTGTTTTTCTAGAATCTCAGTATGATCCTTGTAATTTTTACCGCCTTGTGTATCATTCTTTGTTTAATATATTTAAGATTTGGTGGGTGTATTCTTGTAACGTAACATCTTTACTGAAAGACAATATTGGTTTATCCCAACCAAAAAAATAATAGAGCCAGCATAATATAACTAAATAGAATGGTTGCATTTCTCTGTACCTTATACTCCAGGTGTTGTGCATTCACTTCGCTCATAGATATTTCTTTACTCACTACATTAATAAGGACAACATTTTTTATATAATTACATTATGCTGCTTTTGTCCCCTGTGATTTGAAGGTAAATTTCATCCTCCATGTGCTTTTCCCCCTAAAATATTGGATGGTGACTGTTAATAATGTAATTAAAGGTCTTCTTTGCATACAATCAACCTATTGCCTTAATTGACAAGATGTGCATGTTTGTGATCTGACAGGTTTGTTTTGACTGGATGTTATGATGGCTTTGGAAGGTAATCTAGTGAGTGTTTATTCTTCTGCTAATTATTTTTTTGGTTTTTGTATCAACCTAACATTTGATAGTGTTAATCAGAATATGGAAGGCTGCCGGATCTTGTACACATCTACTGGAGGGCCATACTGATGCAATTACTTCTGTTTGTGTTGTCAAACCAAGAGGTGTCAGTGGGATATCTCAGTTGCTCATTGTCTAGCATTATGCCTTATCGTCTGCTGCCATTATTATTTACCTTGACACCATGTTCATACTCCCACATCACTTGCTCTTGATATTTCTTTTTCCGGTTTAATATTTCTTGTTGATATCCATTCTATTAACTTGCCTTGCAATACCGAAATACACTGGATACCAAAAACTTTTACAAGCATTACAATCAGTGTGGAGATATGGTTTGAATTTCTCCTGGATATCTTCTTCTCTGTGCTTCATTTCTTCTGGAATTCTGTCTGTGTTTATCATGCTTATACCTTTTATTTTCTGTAGTGGCTCAAAATGGTGCTGATCAAATAGTCGCTACGGCTTCCAAGGATAGGACACTGCGTCTCTGGAAGGTAAATGATGTGCCTGTGCTACTTATAACTCACTGCCTAATTCGTGATCTTCCCCTAATTAGCATTGTTTGGCTTAAAAGTTTGATGCAGATGAGTCTTCCGATCAGATAAAGAGGATTAGAGCCTTTAAGATTTTACATGGACATAATGCTTCTGTCCAGAGTGTTGCAGCAAATCCTGCTGGAGATATGGTCGTGCATCTCTTCACTTAATTGATCATTTAAAGCTTTTGATTATGAAATTGATTTTAAGAACTCTTACTGAATCCCAGTATTTATTGCATTGACAGGTGTGTTCAGGGTCCTGGGATTCTCAAATAGCTTTGTGGCAAGCAAGTGGCTCAGATACAGGTGACGTCGTTTCAGTCAAGAAAAGGAAGAAGAATGCCGATGAGGAGGATCCTCAAGTAGAAGTATGACTACATTTCTTCTAGGTTAAAGACAGAAGGATACATTTATTTCATTCCACATAGTGTATAAAAATCCATCATCTGTTTAATAAGGATAACATGTCTGTTCTAACTTCTACCTTATCCAGAAAAAAGATAATGTGTCGGTTCCCAAAAGCAGTGAAAAAGGAGGAAAGAACAGTTCATGGCTGCAGTTACTATTTTGATATCAAAAACTTTCCAGTGCAAGACATTCACGTAAAACACTATCTACTTTTACTTTTTTACAAATCCTCTTCATCCCTGAATACTAGTTCACATCCTTTTCCATCCTACCTCTTATATGCTGCACCCATTCAATTGTCCCAACCTTCTTCCTGCAGCGCCTCCAACTTTGTGTTGATACTTCCTCCGTTCCAAATTATTGACATAGTTTGAACTGGCATGCAATTTAAGAAAAAAATGAAGACTTTAGGAACTTGTGGTTTAAAATATGACATAACTGGCTATGAGTTTTTTGAAACTTGTAGCCTTAAACATAACGTCATTTAACTGGAACTAGAGGGAGTATTTGTTCTTCTTCCTTCCCCCTCCCTGCTATCCCTCTCTGATCCCTAACTTCCTCGCTTGTTCCTTATTTATCACCTTTGTTGCCATTATGTTCTTCTTTTCAATGTTGTTTCAGCAACAATTTTGTGCCAGTCAAATGTGTCTCTGACTTTCTATGTTGTATCTCATTAACAATTGATATCGATTAGCGAAATCTTGTGTACATTTTGGTGAATGACAAAAAATCTTCTGATTTCCTCAAGTGACAATGTTCATCATGCAATTGAAGGGTCAAAATAATTTTGAAATTGATTTTTGAAATATGTCAAAGTCTTTGACTAGGAGGAGAGGTGTCATCTCTTATTATATCACTCTAAGTTGCTTTATCTATGTTCTCTCTCTTTCTTTGCCTCTTCCTTTTCTATTGTTTTCTCTTTTTTTTTTAATGTTTGTTATCATAATCTTGTACTCAAAAAGTTATATCACATCTTATGATCACAGGAGGAGGCTAAATCTACACTTGTAGGACATACACAATGTGTGTCGTCTGTGGTGTGGTCACAAGATGAAACAATTTATTCAGCATCATGGGATCACACTATAAGAAGATGGGATGTTGAGATGGGCAAGGACTCATTGAACCTGGTGACATGCCGTCTCTTTTCTCCTTTTCTTCCAGTCATATCTCTACTGTCCTGTGCATGTAGGCTAGTATTTCCTAAAACTATATACATATGGATTGTGGAGGGGGGCGAAACAAATTTCCCACTTGCAGAATATGAAATTATGAAAATTTTGTGGAAGGTGTAGCACATACATATTCTTTTCCTAGTGATATTGCTTTCGCTTTCTGTCAGACATAACATTTCTCTTTGGCGGTCAACAATCATATTTTTAAAAATTACCTCATTATGATAAGTAGCCGGTTTTGAACCTTTTTAATGCCAAGACATATAGCTTTTTTTAGTCTATTTGTTGGGAGCTTGAAACTGTTTAGTCCTAAAAGTATGGATAATGACCGCCTTCCTCTTCAACAGTATTGCGACAAAGTTGTTAATTGCCTTGATGTTGGAGGTGAAGGTTCTTCCCTCATTGCTGGTGGTGGTTCTGACCCCGTTCTTAGGATATGGGATCCTCGCAAACCAGGTTTCTTTCTTTTTCTGTCCAACTTGCAGATCACTTTAAACACACCCTTGAACTTTAATCCCTGTCTCTCTGTGCTTAAATATCTTTTCTCTGTTTATATTGTTCAAGCAACTGATGACCTTACATGAGACAATGATATATGAAAAAAACTCTTTCATTTATCACTTCAGGTTCTTCGGCTCCTGTCTATCAGTTCTCATCACACAGTTCTTGGATATCCGCCTGCAAATGGCATGAAAAGTCATGGTTTCACTTGGTTTCTGCATCTTATGATGGGAAAGTAATGTTATGGGACTTAAGAACTGCGGTTAGTGCTATACCTCTTACGTCTCTATAATGATTAGTATGTTTTTATGAACACTTACATTTTCCATTCATGGGTAAAACAATTTGTATTGCAGTGGCCCCTTGCTGTCATTGATACTCACAAGGACAAGGTGCTAATGTTTGCCTTCTAAGAACTGGTTTTACAGTATTTGTTCTATCACATTAGAATTTGCTAAACATTAGTCTGTCAATACAGGTATTGTGTGCGGATTGGTGGAAAGGTGAAAGTGTAATCAGTGGTGGGGCTGACTCGAAGCTTTGCATCTCTTCCGATGTTTGTGTGTTGTGATTAGAGGTAAATTACTCTCCTTTAGCAGTAGAGTTTGAAGAGGAAATATGTTTCCAGCCTAGTTAGGTGGAGTAGAACACAAGTTGCTGAATATAACGCATGTACGGTTGAGTTTTGTGTGTATCAAAGTTGTGATAGGACAAGGTAACATTGTATGCAGAGAGTAAAGCTTGATGTGTTTTGCTGACTTTGAAGCACTCTATCATTTGATTGACCTGATGGTAGTTGTGACACAATTGTTCATTTGGCAGAAGTTGTATTCTTGGCACGGGTGACAAGGTAGTTTGTGCGAACAGGAATTGGCCAAGTATATGATTAGAACTTCTGTTCTGCCAGGACAGATTCTCCCCTGTTACTGATATTGTGCTCCAATGATGATGCAGTTTTGCCTAGGGAGAATCGGTTGGGTCAAGCTGGAGTTGGAAATGGTTTGTATTTTATATTCCTGCAAGGCTAAAATGAATTGAAGCTCATTTTTTGGGTGCCTAGTGAGTTTGCAATACAAATATATCCCAAGAGAATTTTCAAAGGATCTTATACGGTCACCTAGAACTGTATTTTATTTCAGCAACCATTCGTACCAATTTATCTGGAAGTAACTATATGATTATCAAAATTTTATTTTAGAGGGATTGGAGCCGTTACTTTTCTCGTCCATTTTACGCCTTTCTTTTTGAAAGGACAGAAAGGTGCCTCAAACAGTCCTGAGTTTTGTGTGAAAGTGGTAAAGTTTTAACACATTTCTGTTTTTTGGCAATGAAGGTAAGTTTTATTACCAAAACAGATATGTACAGTACATGTGAAAGCAGTAAGGCCTTTCTTTTTTATTTCTTACTTGAGGTTCTCAAATATACAGCCAGCTCGATTTATTCAGAACACTACTACTGCTACTCTTCTAGTATGAACTACCAAGGTTCACAACTTACACTATGTATCGCAATTGGCATTGAATACGTTGAGTGGATTTGGTTGTATGTACCATTCCGAAATGGTGCAAAACAATAATGTGCATTGTTTACGTCAACAAAGTATGCAACTCGAGTATATTTTATGGATCTTTTGCCAGGGCAGAGAAACAGTTACTCTTCTGAAAAAATAATTAGTGAGTAATCGTTAGTTACCTTAATAATTGCAACAAGGTTTAGCATAAGATCCTAATTTTGTTCAAAATCCGTCCCTAAGAAAATGCCAAAGCAAAATTATTACCGGTGTCTAATCAAAGTGAACTCAATAATTTCAGCCATTGAGAATCAAGTATTGAGAAGTCCGTCTCAATTCGGAACAGACTCCAAAATCGAATCTTAGCCATTCAATACAATAATAACATATTCGATACAATCATATAAGTGAAATCCGAGAAGGATGGTGTGTATGTAGCTTTGTTCCTGCCTTTTGAAGGTAAAGATGTTGTTTTCAACCGACTCTCGGCTCAAGGCTCGACTTACTGACCTTTCAATGAATTGTAAGTGACTTATGGCCTGTCTAGTTGCCTCTCCCAAACTTCTTTGCCCTACCTCTATGTAATCTAATACGTAATATTATCAAACATTTTGCACCTCACATTTATGCATCTTTTCCTAACATGTCCGAATCACCTCAATCTCGCCTTCTTCATCTTGTCCACCGTGAAGATCTGTAAATTCTTTCCTATTTCAATTCTCTAAATACCCACACATTCATTTCATCATTTTCATTGAACGTTGGTTTTTTTTGTTGTCCTAACAGTTCTCCCACACAGCTAGGCGGGTTAATAACCGTAGATACTGGGTTAGAAAAGCACACGAATGAATAATCATTATAAACAGTCAAATAGTACAATTTGATACGCGACTCCCACAACCTTATTTTATATATACATGGAGACGCGAAAGAGATTATTCTAGTAGGTCAGTTATTTTCCCCGCACATATATTTTAAAATCTTGAATTTCTGATGTGTTTTGATATATCAAGATGATGATCGATTATGCCTTCGTTTTCTTTTTTTAGAAAAAAAATTATGGTTAGGATTTCTGATTATCTCTTGAACTAGTCCTTGGGGTTCTTCTGTAGTAGTGGAATTATTTTGTATTGGAATCTTTAATGTATGTGGCAGAAAGTTAGGGTTTTTGCGGAAAGTTGGATTTATTGACTATTTAGGAACTTAACTGTTCTTGTATTCTGATTCCTTTAATAGTTTGGTGTTTGCTGTGCTGTGCTATTTTGGGATTTCAGAAAAAAGTAATCCCTTTATTCTAAAATTAGAATGTTAATGTCGGACTCCACCATGCCTACTGAAAAAATATATGTCAAGAATCAAGATTGAGTGCACAGACATCTCCTTCCATTCGTTCCGTTTGATTATATGATATCTCTTGTCACCGAGGGGTTCAGTTGACTCCAATAGTTTTGTCGAAACCCTGTATTTATTTCAAGAAATTTATTGAATTTGAGTAAATAATTCATTTAGTCCAAATATAAGAATCCCAAATCTTTAAGCTTCAAATCCGGACTCTTCTTGACACCTTTTCTCAGCATACTCATTTCTCTACAGACCAGAGGTTATACAATTATACGGGGAACTACCGCAGGAATATCAATGTTAACAAAGAACAGTATCCTTTCTATTGTGAACCAACTGAAAATATGTTCAAGTAGAAAGCAGCTGGAATCCCTTTACTCTTTGATGCTAAAGAATGGTGCAACCAAAGACAGTTTCTTGATGAACCAGTTCATTGCTACATGTTCTGCACTTAATAACCCAGATTTTGCATCCTTCGCATTTTCCCAGATGGAAAATCCCAATGTGTTTGTTTACAATGCATTAATAAGAGCTTTTGTTCATTGCCACAGCCCACATAAAGCATTACTGTTGTATATAGACATGTTAAGAACTCAAAATATTCCAAGTAGCTATACATTTTCGTCGGTAGTTAAGGGTTGTACATTGATGTGTGGTCTAAGATTAGGGGAATGTATACATGGGCAGATTTGGGAATATGGGTTTGGAACCCATGTTTTTGTTCAAACTGGTCTAATTGATTTTTATTCTAATTTGGGTAGAGTTGATTTAGCGAGATTAGTGTTTGATGAAATGCCTGAAAGAGATAATTTTGCTTGGGCTGCAATGGTTTCAGCCCATGCCGGCGCTGGCGATTTGGGATCCGCTAGAAAATTGTTTGATGAGATGCCTGAAAAAATTACTGTTGCTTGTAATGCTATGATCAATGGGTTTGCAAAAACAGGGGATGTCGAGTCGGCTGAGCTGTTGTTTAAGGAAATGTCAAGGAAGGATTTGATTGCATGGACGACGATGATTAACTGCTACTCTCAGAACAGGAAGTATGGTCTGGCTATAGAGGTTTTTTATGACATGAAGAGTAACTTGATCACTCCTGATGAAGTAACAATGACAACTGTTATTTCTGCTTGTGCACATCTCGGCGTCCTGGATCAAGGAAAGGAGATGCATCTTTATGTTATGCAAAAAGGTTTTGATCTTGGTGTCCATATCGGGTCTGCATTAATTGACATGTATGCAAAATGTGGGAGTTTGGAGAGATCACTCTTGGTATTCTATAAATTGAGGGAGAAAAACCTTTTCTGTTGGAATTCTGTTATCGATGGATTGGCTGTTCATGGTTATGCAGAAGAAGCATTAGCTCTTTTTAGCAGGATGGAGAAAGAAAAGGTAAAGCCAAATGGTATTACTTTCGTCAGCGTTCTTACAGCTTGTACTCATGGAGGGCTTGTTGAGAAGGGTCGAAAGAATTTTCTACGTATGACTCAAGATTATGGCATCGTTCCTGAAATGGAGCACTACGGGTGCATGGTTGATCTATTGTGTAAAGCCGGTTTGCTAGAGGAAGCACTCGAGATTATAAGAAGCATGAGAGTGGAGCCAAATGCTGTTATTTGGGGTGCTTTACTTGGTGGTTGCAAGCTTCAGAAGAACTTGGAAATTGCTCAAGTTGCAGTAAAAAAGTTGAGCGTTTTGGAGCCAAACAACAGTGGCTATTACACCCTCCTAGTGAACATGTATGCTAATGCAAATAGATGGAGTGAAGTCGCCCGGATCAGGGCATTCTTGAGAGAGCTAGGAATAGGAAAAGAACAACCGGGTTTCAGTTGGATTGAATTAGAGAAAAAGATCCATCAGTTTGCAGCTTGTGATAATTATCACCATTCTTCACAGGAGATCTATTCCTTACTAGATGGATTAGATGGGCAACTTAAGCTGGCTGGCCAAGTTCAGGAGCTTGAATTTTTTCTCTAATGACAGGACAAAGGCATCGTTGACATTATAGGTTTCATAGTCAAATTGGCTAAGTATTTTGTATTCTGTTGCAGTGGATTTAAACCTGGACTGTACATTCGAAGTGGCAAAGGAAATGCTAATTTGTTGTGAGTCACTATGCTAAGCTATGAAAAATCATGCAGTGCGTTGAGTACTTGATAGTGTACAGTTTTTATCTTAAACGAGTAAATGTAATTCAACTGATTATAGCAGATTGATTACAATTTTTATCAGTTTATAAATAGGCATTAATTATTATAGAGCTTAATTATGGACATGGCTCCCTTCCAGTAGACTTTGAGACCAGTTTGTCCAGTGCAGTCCTAGTCTTATTACACCAGTACACTATTGATCTAAGGGTCAATGTCTGCTTAAGAAATTAGAAAAACACCTCATAAACCGTGGTTAAACTAACAGTGCAGTACTTATGATAGAAACATCCGAAAGTATTGCTGTGGGATTTCTATTGAATGACTTTTTCACTGATGTGTTATATTCTAAAAAAATGGCACTTAAAAGGGAATGGAGAGAGAGTAGTGTTTATTGTCGATAATAACATGGATGTGGATTTCTCTCATTAGGAGTATTTGTTCCATTCCACACAAATATGGGAGTAGAAGATGTCCGGACACCACAGTCATCAAAAAAATTTTAAAAAAAGAATCAATGTGTGAATAATTTTACAAATAAATTTAAATGTCCGTTTATGTATTTTTTTTCTTTTAAATACAAGATGTATATTGTACTAACTGATAGTGTTTAATGTAATTTACTCTAATAATAATGCAAGTCGTTGTAATTGACACTTCTTGTTTGTTTCAAAATTTCCACAATAAGATCAGGTGCAAGCTGTTGACATGTTGGACGTCACCAGTAGGTCAATACAACACTGTTTCGTCTGCGTAGGAAGGTCCACCTCATTTCATTTTGCATAGACAGCAAAAAAAAAGGCGTTGGGAACAAGGGGGAAAGGGAAGCCAACGGTTGACAGAGTCATGAAAAAGATGGCAGCATTGCCATCGGCAGACTGGGAATGGGAAAATGCCACCGCCGGTGCCGCTGCGGGCCTTGCCACTGTCACATTCTCTCATCCCCTTGATGTTGTTCGTACCCGGTTCCAGGGTAAGTGTTATGCTTTCCTGCTATAGCAAATGAATGATCTCCTGTTGTTTCTTTGGAGCTTGATTTGTTGTATATGTTAATCATAGTTTACGATGGAAGAATCTCCAATGTCCCGGCCTATCGGAACACTCCTCACGCTTTGTTTGCCATTGCTCGAAGTGAGGTTTGTTTTTTCTGAATCTTTCCAATTTCTTCAAATATTGAAGCTTATCTACATATGCATTGCTACTATTCCAAAACTCACCTTTTAGTTCATGATTCGAAAAAGAAGTTGATTTTTCAATTCATATAGTTGGTAGTTCTGGTGAAAGACAAATCATATAATGTGTTAAGGATGATTGTTTCACAAATTTTTGGTTTCTCAACTAGGTAATATCAACTTCAGGAAAAATGTATATGCAACACTGTTTAAACAAATACGTTCTATCCTCGATTAGGAAACGACACATGGTTTAATGTTGAGTGGATGCCCTTACTTAGATGTATCGTGTATCTAAATGGATGTTTTCTGTAAGTATCCTTCTAAGAAGAAATGAGACCATGTTCGTCTTGGCACTAGTACAACTGATAACTGTGGAGTTTTATGGTTGTTATCGTATTCTCTAAGTTATGGTATTCAATCCATGGTAAGTCGGTAACAATATCCATTCACTCCCTCAAGAATCTTTTTGGAACCTTTGAGAGGAATTGTATCCTAGTAGAGTTTGTATATGGCTACTCCAACTGGAAAGCTAGGTCCTTTGTTTTCTTATAAATATGGTTTAAGTCCTTAATTTGAATGTCAACAGTTGAGTGAGGTGTCTTCGTGGACACGTCGATTTACTTCAAATCTTGATTGAGTGCTTTCTTGTTTCATTTACCTGTTCTCACAGGTAGAGTTTATTCAGTCAGCCTCATGACATAATCATAGTGAGAAACTCCATCACACATTGTCAATCACAATCAAACATACCACTGACATATGGTTTTGAAGATGAAACTCCTTTACTTGCTGCTCCCTATTGAGTTTTTATGCTGCAGACTGTTGAATGTTTGCCTTATTGCTCGTATATGTTCTCACGTTTCCACCAAGATGACTTATTTATTTAGCTATAATGTTGTCTTATCAGGGTCTTAGAGGACTTTATGCTGGCTTTTACCCTGCTGTTCTTGGGTCAACTATTTCATGGGGTTTATATTTTTTCTTGTAAGTAACATCTTTTTCTTTTGCTGACAAAGCTCTGGTAAGTAGCATCTTTTGCCATGAAACATCTTCAGCTTACCGAGAACATGACCTTAGATAGGGGGATATGGAGGGTCGTGGATTAGGGTGACGATTAGTTAGTAGTTGAGTATTGTCTCACTTTCCGGTGGGATAGACTTGGTGGTAATTTGGAGCACTTTATCCACGTCTCCTTTCATACCAGTAGTATTAATATTATTCTCGTTGCTTTTGTTCGTCGATTTTTGTTATTATTTGTTGTTTTTGGTTCTGGGTTAGGGTATTATTTAGCTGTGGTTACTGTTCCTTTAATTCAGAATGCTATGTAATGCTTTCCTATTATTTGCCACAGCTTCTTCACTTTCGTATTTTATGTGTTCATAACTATTTTGGAATGCTTTCCCTTTCTATAGTTTATTTTCTTTCCTTTCTTTATCTTTTCTTTATTTGAGCCAGGGGGTCGCATGGAAACAACCTCTCCACCTTCACAAGGTAGGGTTAAGGTTTGCATAGACACTATCCTCTCCAGACCCCCCTTGTGGGATTACACTAGTATTATCTAAGGCGCGCTTAAGTCCTAAATCGAGGCTCAAAATGTGTTGAGTACTTCGTTGGGCTTAATGTGTGCTTCAATGTCATCATTAGGGTTCTAAAGCATGTTTTCTCTTGCCAATGAGCCTCTTCTGAAGAGGCCATATTTAACAATTGATATTTCATTTTATCGTAATTTTTTCAATTTCTTTGTTCATATATTTGTCAGTCATGCTTATAATTATTAGTCTTGGACTAAACATTTATTTTTTTATATTTTTTCTCCATTTGCACCTTTTCTCAATAAAGCCCACACTTTGTTTGCGCTTAAAGCCCCAGCAGACCTTAGAGCTTTTTGTTTTTTATAGCACAGGCTTACATTGGGTTTGTTGTTGTTGTTGTAAGAAACAATCTCTCCCTGTAAGAAGCAACCAACATATTAGGTTGCTTTCACTTTGATGCTTCTTACATTTCTAGCTTGAGAGACATCTTTCTCTAACTGTAACATCTTTTTTGGAATTTCCTTTTCGTAGCTATAGCAAGGCTAAGCAAAGGTATCTAAGAGATAGGGAGGAGCTGAGTCCAGGCCTTCACCTTGCTTCAGCTGCAGAAGCAGGAGCGCTGGTCAGTAATCAAATTTCTGATGCTTTAATGAAAGAACAATGTACTTCACGTGTTCAAATGTTCAGCATTCAATTGACCAGCTTTTGGCAGGAGTGTCAAATATAGATAGTTGAATGTGATTCTTTATTTGTTGTCGTAGTCCTTGTAGGAGTGCAATTGTAGTTGGCTTGCTGGTGACGAATCCCTTACTTTTACTGTTGATAAAACTTATGTGACTAAAGTGAAATCTTTCTTTTTGCAATGGAAGGCAAGGTCGAGTAATAAACTTATTGTTTTGGACTTCAACATAAGGTCGAGTAATAAACTTATTGTTTTGGACTTCAACATAAGGTCGAGTAATAAACTTATTGTTTTGGACTTCAACATAAGGTCGAGTAATAAACTTATTGTTTTGGACTTCAACATAAGGTCGAGTAATAAACTTATTGTTTTGGACTTCAACATAAGGTCGAGTAATAAACTTATTGTTTTGGACTTCAACATAAGGTCGAGTAATAAACTTATTGTTTTGGACTTCAACATAAAAAATAAAAAGAAGTTATTGATTCCCATCATTGGCAAACCACACATTAGGTGTTAGTTAAAATATAGGAACTGGAGAACCTTATAGACAAACAAATTTGATTGTGTTGATCTTTTTGTGGACAACCTTTTCCCCGCTTTATCAGTTCTGATGACAACAGATTGATGACGTATTATTTAGGTGGAAAAAATATGTGGCTTGCTTATTTTAGTAACTTTAAGCACATCCCTCTAATATTGCAGACTATGTCATATCTTAAAAGGTGTGTTTGTTGGAATTCAGGTCTGTTTTTGCACCAACCCTATTTGGCTTGTGAAAACAAGATTGCAACTTCAGACTCCTAATCAAATTCATCCATACACCGGATTTCATGGTCTGCTTCACTCTCGTATTAACTTGTCAACATCTTGTTTCATTGTGCTTTCATCTAACTTTGAGCACTTTAGGACTACTTCTTTCCATCTTAATTTTATATAAGAATCCTACCTTTATCTCTGCAATTTTGAGGTTCTATAGTTGTGTATCCTCTTTTTGTTTACTGAGGTTCTATTGCAACTTCTGCTCTCTTTTGTATGTGCATGCACATTCAGTTTTCTGACTAGCCTCTTTTGTATTTACTATCCTACTAATTAACTTCATAGGAACTTTTTTGTATATGGATATCAGATGCTTTAAGAACCATAATCAAAGAAGAAGGATGGAGGGCACTTTACAAGGGGCTTATGCCAAGCCTATTTCTGGTTAGAATTGCATTCTCTTCCATTCTTCCCCATAATCTCATCCTGTAAATGAATTTGATCTTATCTTGACATAAATTTTTTGAAGTTAACCATCATAGTATATCTAACTTTTTGGATAGATTATCTATACAATACACAACAAATTTAATGCTGAAGTGTCACCATTCATTCATGAAACACGCCAGTCTGTTGTTGCTTAAGCAGATTACACATGGTGCTATTCAGTTCACGGCATATGAGGAATTTCGCAAAGTCATCCTTAGCTCGAAAGTTCAGGAGAATGAAAACCCTCTTGCCACAGCTGCTGACTTGTTGGTGAGGCTCTAGAACCAATGTGTATTGCTTTCTTTGTATGCAATCAACTCCATAGCTGTTTTAATCTTTGGATGACCAGCAAAATTGATCCTTTTATGTATTATTAGATGTTGGAATTCAGATGTGCTTAGACGAGTTAGAATGAGTACAGGTTAGGCAGGATTTTTAAGTTAGTAGGCAAATGGCACAGATGAGAATATGCTGTCCAACTCTTGTATTATGCACTCTCATTCCTCGTTGTTTCGTCATGTTACTGTGCAGAAACATTAAGTAGGTGTCTTAGGAAATCTTGGAAGCGGAAACTTTTCAAACATTTCTCCTTGAGCAACTAGGATATTATTTGTATATTATGTCGACGATTATCCTAAGGCACATAAGGTTTCTTTTTCAGTCCCTTAACAACTGTATCTACCTTAGTTACTGCATCAAAGTGGCACTAGCCTGTCCAATTCCTTCCCCTCCCCATTAAAAAATAAATATAATATGAAAAAAGGAAAAGAGAAAAAACTACTTGAGTAAAAAGTAAAAGGGGATATTTTCTTAGATAAGCAGATCCGAGTGAAGAATGATTCAATTATTTTCCAAACCGACTATAAGGTTCTTGGTATTGTTTTATGAGGTGAGAGGTGATTTATTATGAACCAGTGAACTGCCACTCATTGATCAATTTATGAAAACCCGTGTGCTGCTAAATGGTGATTTACTGTATTTTCTTTTTTTGTCTGAAAAGCAAGAAGATTTCATTAAGGCTCTCAAGGTAAATGGAAAAGAATTTGGTTGTACCATGTCTGGAGGTTGATCATTACTCAAGAACACTATCAGATGTAAATGATATTGTGGTCGCTGTTATGATTAGTTTCTTTCATATGAATACTTTGTTGTAGAAAGTTGACCTTTTCAGTTCCCAATAAGAGGGAACATTATGCCTCAGTATTTGCTCTTACATTTCTTTCACAGGATTCAGTTGACTATGCAACACTAGGAGCTTCTTCTAAGTTGGCAGCCATTCTTACAACATACCCATTTCAGGTATGTTAGGGGTGTGATAAGTTTGTTCTTATCTCTATTGTTGGGAATATGGGTTCGGGGAGTTTTGAGCATTATGCAGCACTCATCTCCATGTGCCAATTTGTTCTAACAATCTTTTACCCTGTGCTCCGTCACTTTTCTCTTTAACTAATTATGTATTTATATGAAACCTTTTCAGGTTGTGCGATCCCGATTGCAGGTAACTGCCTTTCATATTACTGCCTTACGTGACACTTGATACAACTCTTCTCAGTAGACAAGCATCTAGTGGTGATTTTAGTTTTCTGTAGAGTAGTTAAAGGTCTATCTTCTCTCTAACAGCAACGACCAAGTACAACTGGAGTTCCAAGATACATGGATAGCTGGCATGTTGTGAAGGAAACTGCAAGGTCAGGATGAATTTCAGCCTTCTTTACAGCCTATGCACTTGATTAAATATACATGAACGCCAAACATAAAGTTGCTTTATATTGAAATGTTTTCAGAATCTAAATGGAAGTTCATCGATTGCAACGGTGGCTTTCAGTATCAGGGAATCAAACTAACAAACAAAAGCTGAAGAAATTCAAAATTCTTTTTTAAGATCATTAAGTTTAGAAAAAAGGTTTCTGGTTGATTATTGAACTCTTTAAAAGCAGACTTCAACTTAAAAGGATATGCAGGGGAAGCAAATTGTATGTTTCAAATTTTCCAAGTCTTCTCTCAATCCTAAATTTCTTCCATCCTGCCTCCATCCATCATCTAATACATACAATAGAAGTCATCAAAATCGTAGTAGAACCCCCTTATTGGTAAAACTACCCCTTAATTTTATCCTCTTATTTCGTTTTCTTTTTCTTGTTGAGCTTACAGGTTTGAGGGCGTACGAGGCTTCTACAGAGGTATCACAGCAAACGTGCTGAAAAATGCCCCTGCAGCTTCAATTACCTTCATTGTCTATGAGAATGTCCTAAACCTGCTAAAAATGTCTAGGAGAGAGTATTAGTTCTTTTACATCCTTTTTGCCTCCCATTTCTTGTAGCAATTAGGATTCTACACTATTGAAACTATTTTTGGAAAAAGTATACTCAGATTTGACAGGAGTACAAATAGAAACAAGATGCCATTTAGGAGAATGTGAACAGGAGACAATTTAATGGCTGGTGTGGTGTAATTGTACTATATTTCTAGTCTTTGTAATTTATGAGAAAAGAAATAATCTTTTGAGACTTTGTTCAAGTACTCACGAAAGTTTAAACTGCTGCTGTAGCAAGAATTAATTGATGGAAGCTATGCTTCGACACCTAATAATACTGTATGTAAACCTTGTTACTGAAATGCATGTTGGTTGTTTGAAAGGTTGAGTGGAAGAAATGTATCAACGTTTTTCCTCTCTCGATTAATCTTTGTTCTTATTTGCGATAGCAATATTGATGCTCTGTCATTTTGGGCTGAGGAAAAAATGTTCTAGTTGCATTGTACATGCTGCCAATTTTTTGAAAGAAAAAGTGTCTTGAGGAATAAATGACAGCCCAATTCTGAGTATAACAGGGTGCTTTCAGTTCAGCTTCAAATATATAATTGCCAGTTCTCAAATGTGATTTTGTTTGAACTGTTATTATATTGGAATTGACAGAAGTGACGATACATGCTTTACCAACTTGAAGAAATTAATGTGAAAAGGTCAAGGACATGTGTTATCATTTAAACTATTCCTGGCTCTTCGAAGAAGGATTGCGTAAAACATTCTTTTTATGCTTTGTAAGTTGAGACGAGGTTAAGTTATTCATTTTATACCATAGGGATCCTTCTACCTATCACGTACAACAAAATCATTCTAGACTATTTTCTTGATTGCGTAAAAATTTTCTTAACTTCCTTAAATTTCACGTCAAGTCAAAACAGTATTTACTTTTGAATATAAATGTAAAAGCAAAAACACGAAAAGAAAATACATTATTTTTACGGAAAAGGGTCAAAAATACCCTTAAATTATCCGAGATAGCTCATATTTACCCTTAAACTATATACATTATTTTTACGGAAAAGGGTCAAAAATACCTTTAAATTATCTGAAATAGCTCATATTTACCCTTAAACTATATACATTATTTTTACGGAAAAGGGTCAAAAATACCTTTAAATTATCTGAAATAGCTCATATTTACCCTTAAACTATATACATTATTTTTACGGAAAAGGGTCAAAAATACCCTTAAATTATCCGAGATAGCTCATATTTACCCTTAAACTATATACATTATTTTTACGGAAAAGGGTCAAAAATACCCTTAAATTGTCCGAGATAGCTCATATTTACCCTTAAACTATATACATTATTTTTACGGAAAAGGGTCAAAAATACCTTTAAATTATCTGAAATAGCTCATATTTACCCTTAAACTATATACATTATTTTTTACGGAAAAGGGTCAAAAATACCTTTAAATTATCTGAAATAGCTCATATTTACCCTTAAACTATATACATTATTTTTTACGGAAAAGGGTCAAAAATACCTTTAAATTATCTGAAATAGCTCATATTTACCCTTAAACTATATACATTATTTTTACGGAAAAGGGTCAAAAATACCCTTAAATTATCCGAGATAGCTCATATTTACCCTTAAACTATATTTCGGCTCAAAACTTTCCTTCCCGTCAAACTATGGGTCAAAAGTACCCTTCTTATTAACGGAAGTTGTTAAATGCCATGTGGATGCCACATTGCATCCCAATACTATTTACTCTGTTTTTCCACTGCCACATAGACTAAATTACTAAATCCTAATTACTATTTTTTCCCCCTCATTTCATTATTTTTCAGAAACGATTTCACCCCTTCTCCCTCATTGAAGTTTCGTTTTTGTCCAGATTTTGTGATGTTTATTTCCATATTTTACTTAATGTTTGGTAATGCATTTCTTCATTAGTTCTTTACTTAGTTTAAGTCCATCTTTTGTGAAGTTTATTTTCAGTTTCTCTATTTCTTCATTAGTTCTTTACTTAGTTTATTTTCAGCTATTGACCAACTCTGCTGGTTTTTAACAAACAACAAGCTAGTGGGGGGTTTTGTATTTGGAGTAGTGTGTTTTATGCTCAACATGTTTTGTATGAAGTTCAAATATTTGCTTCCACTGTTAAAGTTCCTCATTTTGCAAATTGGTTTATCAAGTTACGATTGTTGGTGTTCTATTGCTGAATGTTTTCTGGTTAGCGATGATAAACTTTACTTGTTCAATAACATACTTCAATGAAGGAGAAGAGGTGAAATCGTTTCTGGAAATTAATGAAATAAGGGGGAAAAAGAGTAATTAAAATTTAGGGATTTAGTCTATCTGGCAATGGTAAAAAAGAGTAATTAGTATTGACATGCAATGTGGCATCCACATAGCATCTAATAACTTTCGTTAATAAGAAGGGTATTTTTGAACCAATAGTTTGACGGGGAAAGTAGTTTTGAGCCGAAATATAGTTTAAGGGTAAATTTAAGCTATTTCGAATCGTTTAAGAATATTTTTGACCCTTTTCCGTTGTTTTTAAGTCATGAATAGCGTTTCCATAACCTAAGGGGCCCAAGTGTATGCTAGTAGGCCTAAAACCTCACTTCCCCAACCTTGGTATTTCTCCCAGACCGCTTAAACCCCCCGCCGTAATCACCGTCTCCGGCGCCGTTACAAAGTCCAGGCAGAAGTTCTTATGCTATAAGATTCTGTAATCATGAGGTGGTTTAATCGATTTATCAATCATTCGCTGTCTCGCCGTTCTAGAACTATTTCCACATGTCAAACACCTTATGTGCATTCACGAATTCCACAGTCCAAGATTCAAAAATTATCCAAAACCCATTTCTACAGCTTCACTAAACCGTTAATTAGTTCAAATTTCACAACATCAGCTCAGGAGTCGAAGCCGGTTCCATCCGAGAGAGTATCTGCGATAGTCGATGAGATTTCGGGTCTAACGTTGCTGGAAGTATCGGATTTGGGGGAGGTTCTAAGGAAGAAAATGGGAATTGAAGAGATGCCTGTAATGGCAATGATGATGCCCGGAATGGGATTTAGTGCTGGAGGGATGAAGGGAAAGGGTGCAGGAGCTGCGGGAAAGACGGAAGAGAAGGCGGAGAAGACTGTGTTTGATTTGAAGCTTGAAGGGGGATTCGATGCCGGGGCAAAGATCAAGATTATCAAGGAAGTGAGATCTTTTACTGATCTGGGACTCAAGGAGGCTAAGGATTTGGTGGAAAAGGCTCCAGCTAGTTTGAAGAAAGGGGTTACGAAAGAGGAGGCTGAGAAAATTATTGAGAAGATGAAAGCGGTTGGAGCCAAAGTCACTATGGAGTGAGGTAATTGTTCATGCCATTTTAATCAAAATCCTGCTAATGAATTTGAATCATGGGATGTAGTTCTTGTAATAGGGAATGCGCCAAGGTGAATAGATGTACTGTACCAGTAGTTTAGTTTTTTTCTCTACAAATATATGGATAATTGTTATGCATTCAGAAGCTAGACAAATCTTGGTTTCTAATTTGGTTGTGTTGTCTTGCAGTACACACATAATTATTATATGTCCTGGTCTCATATGCAACATAGATCTGTTTTCTCATTTGTTGGTCAATTGATGCACTTTCTTGGATAACAACTTTGAAGCATGTCCATCAACATCTTAATATCATCCCACACCAAAATATAGTTAGTGCACTGCGTGGTTTGCTTGTATTTTCAGTATTCTAATGTATCTTATGAATTAGTTTAAAATTCTAGTACAAGGTACAATTGTACAAACCTCTATGGAAGCATAAGGTGGAAATGCTGAATCTTTCTTGTATATGATACTAGGTTTTAGGTGCAAATGAATTGTTTTAGGGTGAGGGAAGGTTGAGTTTACTAGTTGTGTGTCTTCTTTTCTTTTTAGTACTTTATGCATGAAGCACGGATCTTCCGTGGCATAATATGCTGCCTGATCGAAGATTAGTGGATTTGCTATGATCTACATTTTGTAATGTCTCTCAAAGTTTAGAAGGCTGGTTACAGAGTTTGAGTTGTTTGAAGTTTGTTGAAAAAATAAGGGGCCCAGTGCACTAAGCTTTCACTATGCATAGAGTTCGGTGGTGGGTCGGAACAGATTGGGTTGATTGTATGCTGCTTTACCTACTAGCACTTCTGCAAATGGCTCTTTGCACCGCTTGTCTAATAGACCTCCTGGTCACATGATGGCAACTCTTAATGTTGCACCAAGGCTATCCTTCACTTGAAGCTCTGTTGACACATATATTTCCTGCATGTTCCTCCAGCCCATCTTGAAGACTATGAAAAGCTTCTTCATTACATACCGATTCTCTGATAAATTGTAGGGTAAAATAGTTGAAGGGGATTCGACATGTTGTGAATATGGTTTTCAGTACAATCTATGTACACAAATGTTGAAGGGGACTGGCAGAATAAAAATGAATGGGGAAAATGTTCTCAGTTTTCCAAGTGGGAGAATTTAAGTGACTATTGACTTCACTGTGCATTTTCCCTTGTTTGATCTTCTATAACCAAAAAAGTAGTACTTCCGTTAGATTAGTTTTACCCAGCATGTAGCTGATCTTTACTAGTATTAACTTATCAGTGTCTATCTAATTTGATTTGGTCAACAATAGTTATATCTTTTCTTTAGGAGAGCGCTATGTGAAAGGTTTAATTATCTTGTAATTAGTTATTTATGTATCTGCTTGTTGTGAATAAGATCTACTAACCTGCAAACTGTAGATACTTAATACTACGATATGTAGTCCCTTGGAGGTTTAACCTTCATCTATCTCAAACTGTATGAGATGGAATTGTGTCATCTTCACCTCTCTCTATTTGAAGATGAGATGACATAATTTTGTCTTTTTTTTTGTATGAAGTAACAATTTATCATTCTTGTTTTGGGACAGAGAAGGAAATGCCCTTCTTTCTTACTAAAGCTTACCTATCTTTTGTGTGCTTGTACAGATCCATTGATTGTATTTTTGCAAGAAAGATCGGGAGCTAACAGGTCATGACTTTGTAACAGAATCTGCATTTGGTGATTGGGAGGTTCATGGTTACTGAGCATGCATTAACCTGCTCAAAGGCTAGCTTTTCTGTTTTGAAAATAAAGGAGACGGTGACGCTCCTAGGACATTGTAGAGCTATTTGGTTGAGAACTGACATCTTATAATGAATTCACGTTGTTATAGGTATGATAGATAGTGAGCTGAAAAGGCTGTGGTATATTTTGCAACCATGGATTAATTTCCAATCCAGTTAGATCAGTTTGTACTCTTTTAATTATTTAGGCTACAGTTGGTTTGAGATTATCATGACAAGGTTGACACACATAGTGAACAAAGCTGGACTTGTCCGATTCTAATTCACATTTCAAGCTAATGAATTAATGTTTTTGTTTTAGTTCCTACCAAACCGTAGAACAATAACTCCCATCAGTGACATTAAACTGAAAATCATACTAACTTGTTTTAGGCGGTAGATATCATTTGGATGGTGACCTAATTGTTTAAAAGATTATTTTTTATTATTATAGTATATAAAACTAAAAACTCTTAGTTCCGCACCAAAACAAGTTTCTCTTTTTATTATTTGGTTTATTTTCCGTCCTTCCAAGAATAATCTGACAAAGATCCAACGTTTGTTTAAAGATTCTATATTTGGCATGGTACATTTTGGCGTCTATCTAATTGGATACAAGAAGATAATTATGAAAGCAGAAAACAATTTCTTTCGTACCGAACACACCCGTAGTCACTGGCCGACTTCAATTACTTCATGCAGTAAGATGTACATGCAACACAAAAATAAAAATGTGTACTTAGTATGTCATAGACTATATTTAAGAGGAAATTATTTTTCTGATGTTTGATATGACGGAAAAATCAAAAGGGGGAAAATGAGATTTCATTGTTCTAGTAATAATCTTAACTTCTAAATTCATATTACTTGTTTATTCTAACCAAACAAACACCGGATGAAAAATATCTGCTTATAATATACCAAACAGTGCTCTAAGAAGAAAACAAGAGGAAGTAACAAGTGATCGATGAAATTGAAGTTTTTGAGCTTAGTCGATGAGAACATTCACTTCAAAGCACAGACATAGGGGCTTTCTGATAACGCCAATTGACATGCTTTGTATCAAACATTTTGGGAAAAAAACATCAGCAAAGTATTATATTATAATATATCTCTATTATATTATTATCCAATAGCGTTGGTAATTCACTAAGTCCATGTACTCGTGGAAAAATACAATAAGTAAACATTAATATTCCAAGAACAAAATACAATCTTTTTAATACATCAGGTGCGCAACAGCGCAAACAGCATATTCTCCATACTAATATATACTATCAAATTACCTAAAAGATAGCAACGTAACATATACGTGCAGGGATGGAGGTAGATGCAATAGCTTTTGCTTAAAGTACCATATGTATTTGTATTAGGAAATTCAATAATTAAATATGTACAAATACTTAAGCGAACATATCAATAACTAAAATGAGCTATGAATTTTAAGATAAGTTCAGAACTCATAAACATCAAATACTGTTAGGTTCATGACTTCTGTTGTGTATGTGACCATCCATAATACATAAAATGTTGAATCAGTAACTTAAAAAATAAAGCACGCAGTGAATTACTTACTATAACATGTTATATAAAATGTTATGGATAGTTTCAAGATGGGTAGAGGCAGATCGAAGAAGTATATGATGTAATTTTAGTTTACCGGAGACGTGAACGTAGATAAGAGGTTGTGAAGGGCACGGATTAGAGTAGAAGATTAGTATGTAGTAGTCTAGTAGAGCATTGTCTTGTTTATTCTTCCATACTAGTAGTCGTAGCATAACTCCTGTAGTTTCATTGCCTTCAATTCCAATTATAGTTTGTTGTTTTTTGTACTTTGATTATAGCATTATTTTGTTGTAATTACTACTATTCAGAATGATTTGTCATGCTTTCTATTGCATTTTATCATGGCTTCTTCACTTCCGTTATTTCACTCCTTTGGATTATTTTTCCCTTGAACCGATGGTTTATCGAAAACAATCTCTCAACCTCCAAAGTAGGGATAAGGTCTGCGTACAATCTATTCTTCTCAAGCTTGCTTTGTTGGATTACACTGAATATATTATTGTTGTAATATAAAGTTGAATTCTATTAAAAAAACATATTTCTTGATTCTAGGGTCCCTTATATAAAGCACCAACTAGTTAGATGTTTAATATCTTCAGAGAATTAAGGAAAGAACAAAACCAAAAAAATGGTGCAATTTATTCCACATATTGTAGCTATACCTTATCCAGCACAAGGCCATGTTCTTCCATTAATGGAACTTTCCTTATGGTTAATCAAAGAGCTTGGTTGCAAAATCACTTTTGTTAACTCTGAATTCAATCATAAAAGAGTGATCAAGTCATTATCCGAAAACGATGACGTACAAGACAAGATAAGTTTAATTTCAATCCCAGATGGATTAGAACCTCATGAAGACAGAACAGACCTTAAAAAGTTGACAGAATCAATTAATGAAGTTATGCCTGGGAAACTTATGGAAGTCATTAATATGATTAATAGTAATGACTCACAAATTTCATGTGTTATAGCTGATGAGAATATGGGATGGGCATTGGAAGTAGCTGCAAAATTGAACATTAGAAGCGCTGCATTCTGGCCTGCTGCTGCTGCTACGCTAGCGTCTTTATTTAGCGTGTCGAAACTCATCGATGATGGAATCATAGATAAAGATGGTGAGCTACGTACTTTCTCTAACCGCTTAAGTTTTTTCATCGCACTTTAATACTTTACATCACGAAAGCCTATAGTTAAACGTTTGTAGCTAGAAAAGGCGGGATATTGTGTATAAAATTAATCGAAGTATGTTTGAATAATTACACATGGATAGGAATATAATTGACGAAGAATGAATCTATATTTGTGCACGGAAGGAAGTTGTGAGTATCTAATTTAGTTGTATAATCTTTTAGGTTTCTAACAAAATTTGCATTCCAGGAGCTATATTGAAGGCACAGGGGATTAAGCTATCACCAAACATGCCCATCATGAATCCATCAGATTTTTCATGGGCTACATTCCCTGATCCAGCAATGAGGAAAATGATAATGGATCTCGTAGCAGACAACAATGAAAGAGCGAAATTCGCAGATTGGATCATCTGTAACTCAGCAAAGGAACTGGAGCCTGGAGCATTTGCCATGTTTCCTCAAGTGTCACCAATAGGGCCTCTTTTGTCAAGCAACAGATTAGGATCATCAGCAGGGCATTTCTGGCCCGAAGACTCGAATTGTCTAAAATGGCTTGATCAACAGCCACATAACTCTGTCATATACGTAGCGTTTGGTAGCTTTACAATCTTGGATTTAACTCAATTCCAGGAGCTAGCACTGGGGTTAGAATCATCCAAACGACGATTCCTATGGGTGGTTCGAGAAGATCTAATTTTGGATGGGGACGATAGCGCTTACCCCAAAGGTTTCAAAGACAGAGTAGGCTCTAGAGGCCATATAGTGAAATGGGCACCTCAACAAAAAGTGCTAGCACATCCTTCTATTGCTTGTTTTTTGAGTCACTGTGGATGGAATTCGACTGTGGAGAGTGTAAGCAATGGGGTGCCTTTCTTGTGTTGGCCTTATTTTGCTGACCAGTTGTTCAATCAGAGTTATATTTGTGATGTTTGGAAAGTTGGATTGGGATTTAACAAAAATGAATTTGGAGTTATTGGAAAAGAAGAAATTCAGAATAAGATGGATAAGTTATTTGGAGATGAAACATTTAAAGAAAGGGCTTTAGATCTTCAAGCAAAGGTTAATTCTAGTGTCAAAGAAGGAGGAAATTCTAACAAGATGTTTGGTAAATTTATTGACTGGATCAAGACTCAAAGAGGTTCAATTTAATTGGGAAAATCAGGGACCATAACTCTCAAGAATACAATATGGACGATTTTTAGTACTTGTTTAACTTGTGAACTTTTTTATTTCCTTTAGTTTTTGGTTCAATCAATGTCCCCATGAGAAAATTTTCATTTCTGTGATACGTCCAAGTTTAAAGAAGTTAATTTTGTTTCTGTTTCCTCATTGAGAAAATCTCCTGTGTGATTAGACAAATATGCGAAAAAATTTGATCATTCAATCCAAAAATATTAAGGAAATGGTAGGCATATTAGTCCTAAAGCCTCACTCAGACTTGGATAATCATACATTAACGGGACCAAAGTATAGGCGGCAAATTCATTTTTAGATCAAATTATTAAATGACATTTTATACAATTTCGTATTAATAGTATTTTTTTTATATATACTTTTTCGATTTTTCTAATACTATGTCAAGCCAAGACCTTTCCTACAAAGAAGCCACGGCTCAAGAGCTTCGAGCCGACTCCATACTAGACGAAGCTTCTTGTTGAGTCGGTACGGTACGTTTGCAATTTCATCAAACAAAACATTATGGTATCTCTCTGAGAAAAGAACCTACTTGGTCCCTTTGTTCCACAAAATAAAAAATAAAAAATAAAAAGAAAAAAATGTCCAATTATGTGTAATCTGTTATCGCTATTGCTCTTCCATAACTGCTCAATCCCTGAAAATCCCATTACAGAAAAATACATGAAAAAAGTAAAAGAAGACGATATATAGTCATGGCTGGTTAAAATGATTGCCTTTTCTACTTTGTTTTATACCGTCTGTAATATGAGATCTCGAAGGATAGAGTTTGTTTAAAATCGATAATCTGAATCGAAAAAAAATTATTTGTTTATTAATAATGGATTATTGGTTTAGTGGTTTTGATAACGGTTTTGAATTTTTTTGTTATCGGGTTATCGATTCTTAACAGTTTGAAGTTTTTTCTTAACGGGCTAACTGATAACCCAATAGTAAATTAAATAATTATATTTATACCATTTTGTATATAAAAGTGTTTGTTTTTTAGCAAGATGTAACTTGTGAACTCGTGTGCATGGTTCATTTAGTTTGTCACCTTGTTTTTAAGTGATTTTAAATGTTTTTTTTTGTCAAATCTTAATGGTTAAACTGAACCGATAACGATCAATAACCCATAAGCCAATACCTTAATGGTTCTATAACGGTTTAGCGTCTCTACAAACCGATAACCAATAAGGCAAATCGATTAACTTCAAAACCGAACCGACCGATACACAGTGTATGCAGAACATATTTTTTTAATTTTAATTTTATTTTAGAATCACAATAGTTGCAATTTGTCTGTTACTAGGCTCTTCTAGTTAAATTCCCTTTAATCTTCTTGATAGTTCAAAGACGAAAGAAATCCAAAATTGCACTTGTTATTTTGTTTGTTTTAAAAAAATTGTAGGGATTGTGAGTTGTGCACATGTTCCTTAAAGCGTTAGTATTACTACTGGTAGTACTAGTTGTCACTGATGTCCATAACATAGCATGTGAGGCCATAACATGAAAGAGCAGAGCTGTCTGTTTCACTGAGATATCATGTGAAAACACTCAGAAAATTACACCCCACTTCCGCCATATTTTCCGGTACCACATTTTCTTTATATTATCAGTCTAATTTAATTCGTTAACTTAGTGTATAAAAATTATGTTCTATCGTATCAATTGAATTTAGTAATTTTGATAATAAAAAAAATAAAATATTGAATTCATCAAATCTGAAATTTAAATTTGGTACAGAGTTAGCTGATCTGTTGTCAGCTCTCACATTCAGTGAGCAGGTCTGAAGCTAAGGCGTGGCTTCTGATGGAAAGACTTCAGATTTTTTGTCTGCATTCTAATTCTATATATGACAAAAAGACAAATATTTTTGTGACTAAAACTTCTACCTAAATATAAATTGACAAATTAAAACATAAGCTAAGTTAACTGTGTTTTTTTTTAATATAAAGTATAATTACTACTTGGAGTAAAGGAAAGAATTGAAGAATTAGTACACTATTAATGTCTAAACAGCAATGCAAATCTTTGGGTATTCATAATTTCCCAATTAATTAAAGCTATTACAGAGCTGAATAGTAACAAAATGTTAAAAATTGAACTACTAATATAGAAAAGTTAATTAAGACTTTTGTGATATACTAGTAATAACTATTTGATCCTGAAATTCAGTAACACACCTAACCCATACATAGCTTGAATCTAATTAAAAGAAAGAGAAAAATAATTTAACTCAAACGGAAAAAAGAAAAGAAAGAAGAAAATCGAAGCAATTTTTTTTTTTGCTTTCTGTTTTTCGGTTTTTGGGTGGTAAAACGGCTAAATGTTACTATACAGGATTTTGATCGGTATTTGATCCATAAAAATTGACGAGTTTCTGTAAAACGAAGACCTGAGTTCTGAGAAGAACAATGTAATCAGCAGTTTCTTTGAACAACTGGTCAGCTTTGATTTCACCATTGTTGGCTGGAATTAACTGCTTCAGAGCCTCCAATTTTTCAGAAACGGAACCGCCGTCGACGTCAACAAGATTTTGAGATTTGCATGTTTTTTTGTGAGTGGTAGATCTTCTTGTTCTTCTCATAGATAAGCTACCGGAGCTTAATTTTGAACGAGAACCCATCGGAATTGCTTTCTTAGAGAAGAAGAATTTGAGTTTCCGGTGGAACGGAGGGAGATAATCGTTAAATCTGTTCCGTGCTAATATAACGGAGAGAACAACGCGTTTTGGGGGTTTAAGTAATGGAAGCTTTCATTATTACCACTCCTTCGCCAATAAATAACAGAAATACCATTACCACTTTTTGGTAGTCGCTCTGTTCTTATTTAATTAAATTTAAATTCCATATTTATTTTAACAAAAATAATAATTTATAACCCTAATAAATATTATTGAATACTTTAAAGGAAAAAATTCTTTGGCCACAATCTCTACTTTTAATAACATAAATTTCATAAAACATACAAGTATAAAAATCCTTATTAAATCCTAGCGTATTCAAACTTTATCACATAAATATCTTGACTTATATTTTATTTTATTTTTATTTAAACTTTACTACTCTAACGAAGGTATATATGCACTAATTAGAGCAATTTTCACAATTAGCAAACATAAAAATCATATTTGTATGATATAACTATAGTTTGCATAATTGCGCTTCATAGCAAACTTTATATTTGCTATGGAGCATCAGATTGTATAAATCACTGGGGGAATCAGATTTGTATAAAATTGTTGGCAGCCACTCATTTGTATAAATCGCTGGCAGCCTCTCGTTTGTATAAATCGTTGGCAGCCTCCTCTCAATTCAATTTTATATGTTTGTATATCTGCATAAATTTTGAATTTGTATACAATTGAATTGAAATAAAATGTTTGTATATCAAATCTCTATCTCGCTTTATACAAACGCAAATTATACATTGTATTTTGTATAATCTGTGTTTATATAAAAGCGAGAAAGAGAGAAAGGCAAAAGAAAACTGGCCAAGAGAAGATTTGTATTGTATAATTATAAGTGTACAGGACGAAGATATATGTATTTGCATGTGTATATACAATTTTCTCTCGCTTTATACAAATAAAAACGCAATTTATACATTTGTGTTTGTATAAAGCGAGAGAGGCGAGGGAGAGAGTGGCGAGCGAGAATTTTACGGAGAGAGTGGCGAGCGAGAATTTTACGGAGAGAGGCGAATGGCGACAGTTTGCTACGGATTACAATTAAATCAAATTATAGTTATAACATTTAATTTGAATTAAATAATTTGTTATTTATATATAATTTTCCCATTAACTAATTACTTACTTATTTAAGGAAGAGATAAAAGATAGCTAATTACTTCCTCCTCTCATGTTTACTTCTCATAGCTTTTATTTTTTTAGAGTCAAACTATATGAATTTTGATTAAGATGTATTTTTTCATCATATTGATATGAAAAAGTTGCAATTTATAGTACTTTCCGTATAGTTTTTTAATATCTAAAATTTAATTTTAAAATTTTAAATGAATGTAATCTAATTTAGCTTTAAAAATTAGTCAAATTGACTCTCAAAAAGTACAACATGACTGAAAACGAAAATACCATAAAAATGGCTTCTTTCTTCTAGGACTATCTTGGTGGTAGTTGCTTTTGATGGTTTTTCTTTTTGCCTGACTCAGGACTCAAGTCTAGAGTTGCAGGTAAGACATTCAGTTCACGAACCCAAAAATATTAATGCTATCAAATGCTTTATTTAATTGATAATTTGATATGTAAAGCCTTAAACATCATCAAATCTATAAAAAGAAATGGAGAGACATACCACAAAAATTTACTAAATGTCATTTTAATTCAATTTTTGTTTCTGTATTACCTATCTACAGAATAGAAACAACGCATGTTAGTTGTTACTACTATTAAAAATAAAAAGGACAGATTTATTAAAGAATAAATAACAAGAAAATATATGACATCATAATAAGATACTATAGTTATAACTGTCAAATTCCTCCACTAAAATATTTCCAACAAATTTTTTGGACGCATGCTATTTGCAACCGTTTAATTGACGTGATAGAATTAAATAAAACCAACATAAATAATTAATTATAAATTTGAGATAGCAACTGTATCAGAATTATTGAAATAAAAGTCGACATCAATTAACTTCTTAATTATTTCCTCAACGTTATAGAGAAAGCACGAGCCACAAATAATAAATGGCTTTAGCAAAAATCATTTCTTGCCAGAGAAGCGTTCATTAATAACTTCACATGAATTTAGGCTTATTGGCCATGCACAATTCAATTCGTAGTATCCTATAATTATTGAAAAATTTGTACCACACGTGATTCGTACAAATTTTGTAACCGAAAATTATTATTTTTACACTCTTCGTTAAATTCTTGACTCTGTTATTTGTCACTCCTCGAGAGTCGAAAGTACTCATCATGAAGCAAAAATATCTCAAAATTGTTTGAAA